AGTGACACCAAGTCAGTTCCCCCCAGTGTCAGAATGTCCACCGCAGTCCCACTATAAGCCACTGATCACCGCCATTACTAGCAAAAAGGAAAAAAAAATCCCAGTATATATACAGCCATTTGTAAACGTTGTTTCATGCAAACCAATTCATTTACACATATTATTATTATTATTATTATTATTATTATACAGTATTTATAAAGCGCCGATAGTTCACTCAGCGCTGTACATTACAAAGGGGGACAGAACATGTGACAGAACAATACCAATACAATGCAAAACATGAGGGGATTGAGGGCCCTGCTCTTTCGAGCTTACAATCTAGAAGGGACGGGATAGTGGTACAGGAGGAGATAGCTGTGGGGGATGGAGTGGTAGGAAGAGTGGAGGAGGTCGGTCAAGTTAGCAGGGGGTAGGCTTCCCTGAAGAGATGGGTTTTCAGGGTGGGCCTAAAGGAGAGGAGAGTAGGTGATAATCTGATGGGTTGGGGAAGGGAGTTCCAGAGGATGGGTGACACCCTGGAGAAGTCCTGGAGGTGGGCATGGGAGGAGGAGACCAGGGAACTAGAGAGAAGGAGGTCTTGTGAGGAGCGGAGTGTGCGTGCTGGGTGGTACTTGGATATTAGGTCGGTGATGTAGTTCGGGGCAGTATGGTGGACAGCTTTGTACGTCAGTGTTAGGATTTTAAATTTGATCCGTTGCACAATCGGAAGCCAGTGGAGGCTTGGCAGAGGGGGGTGGCGGAAACGGAGCATTTGGAAAGGTCAATGAGTCTGGCAGCCATATTCAGGATCGACTGAAGCGGGGATAGCCAGCGGCGAGGCAGGCCAGTGAGGAGGGCGTTTGCAGTAGTCGAGTCGTGATATGATGAGGGAGTGGATGAGCTGTTTAGTGGTTTCTGGGGTTAGGAACATGCGTATTTTGGCAATGTTGTGGAGGTGGAGTCTACACGAGTTTGTTAAAGATTGGACTTGGGGCTGGAAGGATAGGTTGGAGTCCAGAATGACACCAAGTACTCTGGCCTGCAGGGCGGGTTTGATATTGGCGTTGTTGGATGTGATGGAGAAGTCAATGGGGGGGTGGGGTTCAGGCTGGGGGGAAGACAAGAAGCTCGGTTTTGGAGAGATTCAGTTTAAGGAAGTGGAGCGACATCCAATCTGATATGTCGCTCAGTAGGTGTGTGATTTGGGCAGAGACCGAGGGGGTGAGGTGGGGGGTTGAGAGATAGATTTGTGTGTCGTCGGCATAGAGGTGGTAGTTGAAGCCGTGAGAGTGTATGAGTTGGCCAAGGGAGGAGGTGTAGATGGAGAAGAGAAGGGGCCCAAGGACAGAGCCTTGAGGGACCCCAACAGAGAGGGGGAGTGAGGGTGAGGTGGTAGCATTATAGGTAACGCTGAAAGAGCGTTGTGACAGGTAGGATGAGAGCCAGGAGAGAGCAGAATCTCTGAGGCCGAGGGAGTGTAGTATTTTGAGGAGGAGGGGGTGGTCAACTGTGTCGAAGGCCGCAGAGAGGTCAAGGAGTAGGAGCACTGAATAGTGGCCATTAGCTTTGGCGGTTAGCAGGTCGTTGGAGAGTTTGAGTAAGGCGGTTTCGGTGGAGTGTAGGGGACGGAAACCAGACTGTAGGGGATCGAGGAGGTTGTTGTCGTTGAGGTGAGAGCATAAGCGGGTGTAGACGAGGCTCTCGAGGAGTTTAGATTATGTAAGTGGGAGCAGGGAGATGGGTCTGAGGTTGTTCGGGTCATTGGGGTCCAGGGAGGGCTTTTTAAGTATGGGGGTGATGTGTGCATGCTTCAGTGGGGAGGGGAAAGTGCCGGAGGAGAGGGAGAGATTAAAGATGTGGGTGAGGGAGCGTAGGATGGAGGGGGAGGGAGGTCGTAGGAATTGTGAGGGGATAGGGTCGAGGGGGCAGGTGGTGAGGTCGGGCATCAGAGAGGATCTTGGAGACTTCCTCGATGGTAGTAAGGTCAAAGGTGCGGAGTGTTGGGGGAGCTTCAGTATGAGGAATGTAGGGTGGAGTGGAAGTGGAGGTCAGAGCAGTGGTGGGGCCGTGGGAGAGGGGTGATGAGGGGGTAGCTGAGTGAGGGGGAATGGGGTTGGAGGGAGTTTGAGCAGTGACGAAGTCCCTGCGGTTAATGTCGAGGGGGAGGGGGGGATGAGGGGGTAGCTGTGTGAGAGGGGACGGGTTGAGAGGGCGTGTGAGATGCGGCAATGTCCTTGCGAATTGTGTCAACAACAAAATGGTATTTTGTTAGCAGAAATGTAGCAGAATACACTTTGGCCTACATTTTTGATGAAATTTTTTTACTGGACATGTTTAATAGCAAAAAAAAATATAGTTTTTTTTTCTCACAATTATCGGTCTTTTTTTTATAGCACAAAAAATAAAAAACGCACAGGCGATCAAATACCACTGAAAGAAAGCTCAATTCGTGGGGAAAAAAGAACGTAAATTTAATTTGGGAGCAGCATTGCATGACCGCGCAATTGCCAATTAAAGTAACGGAACAAATGGCCTGCTCAGGAAGGGGGGTAAATCCTCTGGAGGGCAAGTGGTTAATTTGGAAATAATAATGCCCTGTGTCATATGCCCTCACTATTTTTTTTTAGCATAATCAGGTGTTTTTTTTTTGCTTCAATAGGGACACCTGTATACATGCAACATATGTGTTTTTGCAGATTTGCTTGCACCTGAAGAACTCCTCTCCTCGGGCAGAACTGCTCTTTTCCTCTTGCAGGAAATAAGCTCTCAGGCTTGATACAAATGCAAAAATGGTTGCACAAAGTTTGCAAAATGCTTTAAAATGCTAAGAAAAAAAGGTTAAAATGCCAGGAATACAACAGGAATACCCTTCTCCTATTACTCTGAATGAGATTGAAGTTTGGAAATGTACTTTGGGAAAATTCCCTTGCATTTACTTCCTTGAATTCTGTGACACCTATTCACTCTGCCCTGTGAATAGGAATTGATGTGTCGCACATTTCTCAGAGCCTGCCTTCTGAACTGCAGAGATTGTAGGCAAGTGTGGTCTGTTTTCTCCACTGTAGGTGGTGCTTAATCCAGCCTGGAGAAGAAGTCCAAGGGAAACACCATTTCTCTGTGGTTTCCTGGAGCAGCATTCCGGTTGGCTGTGCTGTGGCCATGTGACCTTTGGTAGCTATCTTGGGTCAGCAGGGTCTTTTTAAGTCCCTGCCCCAGGTTTTGACATGCTTCTCGTGTGTGGCTAGTGTAGGGAGAGAGACCCCACTTGTTAGGGAAAATAACTAGTAGTAGGTAAAGCTTCCTGATGAGGAGGTACAGGCTAGGGAATTGTGAAAAGAGCTTTCCCTCTTGGGACTGCACCGACCAGGCTGGACTTCACCCTCTAAAACAGACACTGTTGGCACATCTCCTCAGCCACATCTGACTGCAATGAACTGTGAGTTTGTTTTCTAGCAGCGCTCTCCAGCCAGGGTGTTTGTAACATTGGCATTGTGTTCAACACAGTTCCAAGTTTTACTGCAACCAGATTGTAGTTACTGCCAGAACTATGCTGCAACTCTCCACGTGCTGAGAGGAGGAGCTTCAGGAGGTGGAGTTAGCACTGGTATGACTGCTTGCAGGAAGCAAGTTACCCTTGGGTATGTAGTTCCAAATGAATGAGCAGAGGAGAAGCTGAAAATCATGCAGGGAATCCAGGAAGTTGTGTAAAGAGATGACCATCAGACAGGCAGCACTCACAACATGAAAGGAGATTTTTTCAAGTAAACATATATTGGATTGTAAAATATAATTATTGTTTGCATTGTTATTACAGAGTAATAACTACCCCCCCTCCAAAAAAATATATTGATTGGAAACGTAAAGAGCTGTGTTTGATATCCAGTCAGGCAGATGGAGATATATATTTTGTTCAGGTTTGATTTTTAAAAACCCAAAAGCAAAAAAATTTAATTTAGTGCAAATACAAATTTATGCCCCCTGTCCCTATGTGCTTGTCAAGGTCCTACCTTTCCTCAGGGCTTGTGTTGCTCCATGTGCTGGAATCCATCTTAGGTGAGATCCTGTCGGGGGCAGATCTTGGGTGGAGTTTCCTTGTCCCCGGTGTCCCGCAAAGATAAACCGCTAATCACCATTGTCCTCTCTTGGGTGGAAGGCTCGGTGACGGCCCAGGCGTTGGTAGACTCTGGTGGTGGCGGGTTGTTTATGGACAGCTCGTTTGCTGCCCAGTACTCCATTCCTCTGCAGGCTTGAGTTACTCCATTGGTTCTCGAGGAGATAGATGGCAGGCCCCTGCAACCGCCGCAGGTTACCCACGAGACCCTGCTCGTTGAAGTAGCTATTGGGGCTGTTCACAGGGAGTTGACCTGTTTCCAGGTAATTTCTTCTCCACACTACTCCGTGGTTTTGGGATATCCCTGACTTCAGAAGCACAATCCGACCTTTAATTGGTGGTCAGCCAAGATTCTCTTGTGGTCTCCACAGTGTGGGGCCGGTTGCATCCGTGGACCTATTAACCACTTGCCTACCAGGCACTTATACCCCCTTATTTACCAGGCCAATTTTCAGCTTTCAGCGCTGTCGCACTTTGATTGATAATTTCGCGGTCATGCAAGATTGTACCCATATGAAATTTTGATCATTTTTTTCTCACAAATAGAGCTTTCTTTTGGTGGTATTTAATTGCCACTGGGCGCTTTACTTTTTGAGCTATAAATAAAAAATTGCCAAAAATTTGAAAAAAAAAAAAGTTTATTTGTTTTCTATTCTAAAATGTTTCAAACAGGTAATTTTTTCTCCTTCACTTCACTGATGTGCGTTGATGAGGCAGCACTGATGGGCACTTATAGGCGGCACTGATGGGCACTGATAGGCAGCACTAAAGGGCACTGATAGGCAGTACTAATGAGGTGGCACGGATAGGCGGCACTGATAGACAGCACTAATGAGGTGTCACGGATAGGCGGCACTAATATGCAGCACTGATAGGCGGCACTGATAGGTGACACTGATGATGTGTACTGATAGATGGCACTGACTGGCATCACTGCTGGGCACTGACTGGTGGCACTGACTGGCACAACCGCTGGGCACTGACTGGTGGCACTGACTGGCAGCACTGCTGGGCTGCACTGGTGGGTGGCACTGGTGGGCAGCACTGGTGGGTGGGCACAGGTGGGTGGCACTGGTGGGCACAGGTGGGTGGGCACAGGTGGGTGGCACTGCTGGGCACAGGTAGGTGGCACTTCTGGGCACAGGTAGGTGACATTGAAGAGTGGCACAGGTGGATGCACTGCTGGGCACAGGTGGGTGATCTGCTGGGCACAGGTGGGCGGAGCTAGTGGGCGCACTGCTGGGCACAGGTGGGCGGAACTTGCGGGTGGCACTGCTGGGCACCGATCATCAGGGCACTGATCATCAGTGCCCTGATGATCGGTGCCGATCCCCGCTCTGACAACTGCCGGTTCTCGGCAGTACTTTCCTCACGATCTGACAGCGTGAGGAAAGTACAGCCGAGAACCGGCACTTGCATTTCCCTCTGATCAGCGTGTCATTGGACACCGCTGATCAGGTGGTAAAAGGCCGCTGTGATTGGCCTTTTACCACATCACGTGATCAGCTGTGTCCGTATGGAGTCTCATATCCAGATGTCAAGCGGGTGCTGCAAAGGTTACATGAGAACGAGCTTTTCTGTAAGCTCGAGAATTGTGAATTTCACCGATCCCAGGTTGCCTTTTTTGGGCTACATCATTTCCGCTATGGGATTTTCCATGGACCCTCAGAAGGTTTTGGCGGTTCTGCAGTGGCCTCGTCCCAGTGGTCTTCAGTCCATTCAGCGCTTTTTGGGATTTGCCAACTATTATCGAAAGTTTATCAGGAACTTCTCCACGCTTGCCAAGCCTCTCTCAGATCTGACCAAGAAGGGCAGTAATCCCCACGAGTGGTCATCCGAGGCCATCTTAGCTTTCGAATCTCTGAAATCCGCCTTCGCTTCGGCTCCGATACTGTCTCATCCCAGTCCTGGGTTGCCCTTTGTCCTTGAGGCTGATGCATCTGAGACGGGAGTAGGTGCCCTCCTGTCTCAGCGTCGGTCGCCCGATGGACCCCTACATCCCTGTGGGTTCTACTCCAGGAAGCTTTCCTCCGCAGAATGCAACTACCAGATTGGAGACAGGGAGTTGTTGGACATTATTCAGGCTCTCAAGAAATGGAGGCACCTGCTCGAGGGTTCCGGTTCTCATTCTCACTGACCACAAGAACCTGATGTATCTCTCGGAGGCTAAGAGGTTGAAACCCCGTCAGGCCAGATGGGCTCTGTTCTTGTCGCGTTTTAACTATGTGTTCTCCTATTTGCCTGGCTCCAAGAATGTTAGGGATGATGCCTTGTCGCGGCAATACTCTGAGCTGTCCAGGGAGGACTCTGAGCCGACCTCGGTCATACCTCCGGATCAGATCCTGGCTGCCATTGGTACCAGCCTGACTTCTCCCCTTGGGGAGCAGATTTCGGTGGCTCAAACTGATGCTCCCTCTGAGAGACCAGCTGGCAGATGTTTCATACCTGAGGGATTGTGCACCTGCCTACTGCGTACCTACCATAATTCCAAGACTGCCGGTCATCCGGGGAGGAACCAGTTGTCCTGGGTCATTTCTCTTCTATTCTGGTGGCCATCTCTCTGTTCCGACATCGCCTCATATGTAGCGGCATGTTCTGTCTGTGCCCAAAATAAATTTCATCGGCATCTTCCACTGGGCCTTCTGCAACCCATTCCCAATGGGGAGCGTCCCTAGTCACACCTGGGCATGGATTTTATTGTGGACCTCCCTGCATCTCAAGGCCATACGGTCATTCTTATGGTCATTGATCGTTTCTCCAAGATGTGCCATTGTGTTCCGTTCAAGAAATTGCCGACTGGCTACGGTTTTTGCCAGGGAGATCTTTCGCTTGCATGGGTTGCCTAAGGTGATTGTCTCGGACCGTGGGAGCCAGTTTGTGTCCAGGTTCTGGCGTGACTTCTGCTCCCAGTTGGGTATCAAGCTCTCCTTCTCTTCGGCCTTCCACCCGCAGTCCAATGGGGCTGTGGAGCGTTCCAACCAGGCCCTGGAACAATTCCTTCGCTGCTATATCTCAGACCATCAAGACAATTGGGTCGATCTCCTGCCATGGGCAGAGTTTGCGAGGAACTCGGCTGTCAACTCCTCCTCCTTCATGGCCAACTATGGGTTCCAACCCGTTGTATTGCCTGAGTTGTTCTCACCACAGGACATTCCGGCTGTGGATAACCATCTTGCTGCCCTGCGTTCTTTGTGGGGGTAGATCCAGAGGTCCTTGAAGGACTCTGCACAGCGCCAGAAGCTCCAGGCTGATCGTAGATGGTTGCCGGCTCCTTCATACCAGGTCGGAGATTGGGTGTGGTTGTCCACTCGTAACCTCAATCTTCGGGTGCCTGCACTGAAACTGGCTCCCCGTTTTGTTGGTCCTTTCCGCATCCTCTGCAGGGTGAACCCTGTTGCCTATGCCCTTGCTCTTCCTCCTGGGATGCGTATCTCCAATGTCTTCCACGTATCCCTGTTGAAGCCTCTGGTCTGCAATCGATTTACTTCCTCACTGCCTCGGCCCCGGCCTATCTGGGTTGACAGTCATGAGGAGTATGAGGTGAGCTGCATCCTGGACTCTTGGTTGGTCCGCAGTCAGGTGCAGTTCCTGGTCTATTGGTGTGGTTATGATCCCGAGGAGCGTTCCTGGGTTCCTTCCGCGGATGTTCATGCTCCTGCCCTCCTCCGCGCCTTTCACGCCCGCTTTCCCCAGAAGCTTTATGTTGAGCCGTGGAGGGGGAGGGGCCCTTGAGGAGGAGGTACTGTCAAGGTCCTACCTTTCCTCAGGGCTTGTGCTACTCCATGTGCTGGCATCCATCTTAGGTGTCTGCAAAGCATTGTGGGATCCTTTATGCTTTCAGCCCTCTGCGGCTCCTCTCAGGAGGTGGCGGCTTATCACATTTAAGTCTGCTGTTTGTAGCTGTCCATTGCATTCGTGTCCTGTCTGTTGCACAGCTGCAAGCTCCTGTTCAGTTCACTCATTGCTCTCCTGGATACCGACTCGGCTTTGGCAAAGACTCCTCCTGGCTTCTGACCCCGCCTCTGGCGACCATTCCTCCCGGCTTCTGACCCCGGCTCTGGCGACCATTCTTCCTGGCTTCTGACCCTGGCTTTGGCTACGATTCCTGTTGGTTCTCGACTTGACTATCCTGGAAGACAACCTCGGCAGGAGAACTTCTGTCCTACCAAGTCATTCGCTGTTGCTGTCGGACTTGCATAGACTCTTGCCTTGCTTCTGTGTAAATAAACCTACCTTTAATTGCACCTCCTTGTGTGCCTGGCTCCTCGCTCCCTGACAGTGCTTACACTAAATGATAATGGCAATGAAACTTTTCTGCTTTGATGCCTTAGAGTTGTTTGAGAATTAATTATGTTAATGTTTACATCTTCTCCTATAATATTCATGTTCTTTATTTTGTTTCCAGGAGGGCTGTTTTTCTCGCAGAACATGCCGGGACGGCTTTCAGGCACCTCCGTCAAACGTAGTCAGGGAGTTGAAGCACTTTCCATATTGCTTAGCAGGGTGGTTGCATAAGCTGTTAAGGCTCATATAGTTCCAGCTACAGCTTGAGAGAGTGGAAATGGAGTGATATAATCTGCATTCCACCTCTCTCTGCAGACGGGATGCTCCTTTGGTGGCAGTCACACTTGCAATTGTGTGGAAGAGCGACACGTGTAGCCTGAACTGATTGCTCACTGTGCTGTGGAGACAGTGGTGAAAAGTTATACAGCCTTTGTTGGTAGATTATTGATTGGCAATGTTGCAGGATGAGGCTTTGTCTATTAAAGCTGCTTGGATGTGGGTCTCTTAGCTGGATTGAACTGTCTCTTAGCTGGATTGGGCTGTCTCCTAGCTGGATTTATGGGGATGTACAATCAAAAAAGATAAAAATGATGCCAAAAAATCAACCCACTGCCCAGTCATGTAGTGACAACATAACCACGTGGAATGAAGCCGACTCACCCAAAATAATAGAAATAAATAGTGCAATCTGCGTAACTCATGGCTATGGCCCAAGAAAGGGCAAAAGGAGGTTACAAGGCAGACCAAGCGGCTTATAAATAAAAAACATGCTTTATTATGTTAAAAAAATTACAAATATTAAAAGAGCACAATTACCCCCACACCAAATGAAAAATAAAAAGACAATGTTGTCTAGTCAAAACGAAGGGCTGTACAGCTTGTACACCATACAATCATCATACTCATACACACATGGCAGATAAACAAGGGTAAAAATTCCCTTAACCTTCATCCCATCAGGCTTACCATTATGGAACTCTGCAAAGTGTAACGCTAGTGGGCTCTGGTCATTCTTCTTTTTGATACTTTGGAGGTGTTCCCCTATACGTACCCTAAGCTGTCTCTTGGTTTTCCCTATATAATATTTGTTACATGGACATTCTAATAAGTAGTAAAGGTGAGTGGTAGAACAATTAATGAAATCTTTGATGAAAAAATGTTTCAAGCTATCATAGTTCATAAACCAGTCACTTTTATCGATATATTTGAAAATTTGGCAATGGCCACATGCATGTATTCCTTTGAGTGGGGGGCAAATTTGTAAGCCAGTGTGTAGTTGTTTTCTTATGGAATTTTGGCCAAAGCTGATGATTTTGTTAGATTACCCCAGTGTTTTTTTCCACAACATTCCTGACTTGCTCCCATTGGGCCCCAAATCTGGTGATAGTTCTAGTAGAAGTCTCTGTCATATTTTGTTCTTTCGGATGCCTTGATGGGGTCAGGAGGTCATCTCCATTTGAATTCCACGCTTTTTTCCTTGCCTTTTCCAAAATCTTATGGGTAGGGGCGGACTGACCATTTGGAAACTCGGGCACTGCCCGAGGGCCTGGGGTCAGTAGGGGGCCCCATGAGATGCCCCTGGTACCTTTTTCATAGGCTTTTTTGAGCAAGGACACAGGGGCCCCAGGATCCCCTATTGCCCGGGGGGGCCCATGAGTTGTCAGTCCGTCCCTGCTTATGGGGATAGCCTCTCTCTCAGAATTGATTGTACATATCTGTTGATTGAGTATGGAAATCACAATTCAGTGTACAGTTCCTGCGAACCCACAGGAACTGTCCCACTGGAAGCCCTTCAATAAGTGACCTAGGGTGATGGCTTGTTGCCATTAATAGGGTATTAGCATCTGTTTGTTTACGGTATGTCTGAATAACCAACCTCCCTTCCAGGATGGAGATTTAGAGATCCAAAAAAGGGAATAGAGGCGGAGTCAGATACGTAAGTTAACTTGATATTACGCTCATTTAAATTTAGCTCTGCCATGAACTCATCTAGTCTCTCCCTTCCTCCACTCCAGACCAGTAGTACGTCATCAATGTATCTCATCCATGTGGCCATATGGCTGCAGTACAGAGGTGACGAAGTATACCATTTCAACTTCCCACAGCCCCAGATGGAAACATCCATAGAGATGC